ATTACTGATTAGTTTTATTGTGGGTTAGATAGATGTGGAGAGGCTAAGGCTCTTGACATTTTAAAGCTTTTGATAAAGTTTGACATGCTGGTCTTTTTCCTAACCTTTCTTCTTACGGTGTATCAAGTAACATCTTTAAGGTTATTGCATTCTTCCTTATCAACCTTAGTATAAAAGTTGTCCTTAATGAACAGCACTATTTTTCATTTCTAGTAACTTATGGGGCACATTAAGGTTCTATCCTTGGTCCTGTTTTGTTTTGTATTTACATTAATGATCTTGCAGACAATTTCATGTCTAAAATAGCTTTTTTTGCTGATAACTCATTTTATATTCTTATCTTGGCAAAAAGTCTTTTCATTTTGATTGCATAGAACAGGCAGCCAATCTTAAATATGATTTCATTTCTATAACAGATTGAGGCTCATAGTTGCTTGTAAACTTTAACTCCAACATAACTCAATTATTTACAGCAAAAAATTATTGCAATTCTTATCAAAATTCCTATATTAATAATCAGCTAATCTATCACTAAGTCCTATCATTTACTATTGAACTTTCTATTCTAGGCAAACTTTTTAAGTGCAAATGAAGGTGATATTAAAATACTTCAAAAGTTGCTGAACAAAGCTATGAGACTTATTTTAAAATGTGATTGGTATTCACATAGTAAAGAAATGTTGGAGAAAATTGGATGTTTATCAGTCAAGCAGAAAATCATATTTAAGGTCTTGAATTTTGTTCATGATGTAGTAACTAATCCAAATAATAAAATATATGTGAATATGTTCAGAAAGAACAGTGACTTACATAAATACAATACCAGGAATGCAAATAATTTTCATATGGAAGTGAAAAACAATATAAGTGGGCAGAAACTAATTTTCTGTAATGAACTCAAGCTATATAATTAAATACCTGAAGAAACAAAAAATATAAGAAATAAAAGTTTCAAATCAAGTGAGATAAAATTTATCAAAAATAAATGAACAGAATAAGGGTAGACTTATCAAGGATATAGTGTCATGATTAGTGAATAAACAGGTGTAATTTTCAAATAATGATAAGAAGAAATTAGCATGAAATTGCTATCTTAAACAAGACAAGAACAACAACAATAAGTATAAAATATATATCAAATATTAAATGTAATTAAATCTAATAAATGCAAATAAACAATGTTTATTGTGTCAATATATACTACTAAAACTAATTAAGATAAAATTGAGTAAGATAAAATTATTTAAGAAATTATTATACAGGACTGCTCCAACTGTGTTAACCTTTAAGCATACTAAAATATATAAAAATTCAGTAAATTTCAGTATTAATTGATATTAATATTTAAATCTGATATTAAAATATGAATATATAATTGAATTGCAGAACGAATATATAATTAAATATACAATATAGAATAAGATATTGCCATTAAAGTTAAATTAAGTAGCTTAAATAATGAATTTCCCAAATAAAACAACAAACCAGACCCCTGAGTTTTTTTTCCAAAAAAAAACAACAGCATCTAAAACATTGTGCATCATTGTGTGACTTACTGCATTCTCATTTTTCTTTTTTAAATACTGTGCTTTTGTTGTCAGACCTTTGTCTTTTCCTTGTTGACAATCAAGAGTACTACATGATGAAAAAATGAATGGGACTCCAGTAAATGGAAGATCTTTACTCTCAAAATAGATCTTGTGGTTTTTCTTCATTATATCTAAAGATAAATAAAAATTAAATATTTTTCTGTTTAAAATTTTGGTGATTTATTTCATTTTTTCAACATTAAAAATAAGATATTTAAAAATGTTAAAAAATGTTTTAATACATACACACATACATAGATACACACATACATACATATATATATATATATAAGAAATATGTATATAAGTGATGCAAACCATCAATATTATGTTCCATAGTTCGTTTAAATGCTACAACATAATGCACAGTATGTAACATTTCATGTTCTTTAATTTTGGCATAAACATCTGTTAATGTTGAAAAAATTTGCTGCACTTCACTGCCTGCAGTAGGACTTGACACTTTGACCAACATGTTTGGGTCTTGATCTATTAGTATGGCACATAAAAAAAAATCACAAATAACCATAAAAGCTACAAATAGAT